GCCATCCTGCCCGCTCGGCCCGGCGCGGCGCGGCGCCCTGGGGCAGTTTCGGGACGCGGTCGGGAGCCTACCGCGCCGCTCTGGAACGCCGCCGCCGGCACCTGCGCCTTCCCGGGCACCGGCCCCTCGCGGCCGCCTGCAGCTCTGGGTTCGGTTTGCTAAAGTAACGGGGCGAAGACAAGCAAACCGAGAGACCCCCAGCGCCATGCGGGGCTGCCGAGGGGGGTCCGGGAAGGAGCCGGTTCCGGGAGGCGGGGCTAGAATTCTGGCCCCGCCTTAGTCATTTCTGACCTCTTGTGAGTCGGCTTCCTTACCAATAAAACAGCTTAATAATACCTCCCCGAGCGTATTTCACAGGGTTGTGAGAATCAAAGTATGCACGAGGACACCTTTTAAATCGCAGTACACACACACACACACACACACACACACACACACACACAAATAATAATAATAATAATAATAATAATAATAATAAATTGCAGTACACATGTGACAGTTGACTTTCTCTGACCCCTTCTGATTATTAAAAACCTGCTTCCATATGTGGGTTTTTTTTAGATGTAATACCAATGTTTTGTGAAAAAAATTTTTCTCTTAAACCTGATTTCACATGCATTTAGTTACATAGTATTCCAATGGAGTGTATACCGTTCATTTAATAGATTTTAAATACTTACAATGAGCCAGGCACGAAGAATTAGATTCAGGCTGAGGAAAGAGTGAAGAAATAAAATGGAGTCGCTATGTCAAGCTGCTAAATTATAAAAATCAAGTAGGCTAAGGCAAAGGAAGCAATTCTCTTCTTGCTTTAACTAGCCTGGGAACTTAACCTTTGGCATCTTTCAGTTGTGCAGCAATGGCTGGAAATACCCAAATTCCACAAACCTCTGAAGGGCTTAAGAATGTTCATGTGCTGCTGGACTGGTGAGCATCGACCCAGAAACCAAGAGGTCATTGGTTCAATTCCTGTCAGGGCATATGCTTGGGTTGCAAGCTCAATTCCCAATAAGGGGCATGCAGGAGGCAACCAGTTGTATCTCTCTCACGTCGATGTTTCCCTTTCTCTCTTTCCCTCCCTCCCGTCTTTCTACTCTCTCTAAAAATCAATGGAAAAAGATATTCTCAGATGAGGATTAACAACAACAGAAAAAGAATGGATAGTATTTCTGAGTGACAGAGATTGGGGGGTGGGGGGATGGGGAGGTGGGGATGAGGAGAAGCATTTCCACCAGGACCTAACAACATGAACTAAAGTATTAAGGTGAGAAAATGCATATTGAGGAGACAGTAAGTATTTTATTTGGCTGGACCTAGGTTTTATCTAGAAGAATAACAGTAATGAGACCAGACCCTTGGTTTCAGCCACATTGTGGAAGGCCTTTATGAATGTCAAGAGTGAAGATAGATCTGGCAATAGCATTGGAAACCGACTGGACAGGGGAGAGTTGTAACAGAGAATCCTGTTAGAAGGATATTGGAATAATCCAGTGCTATGGTCAGAATGTGTCCCCACAAAATTCATATGTGGAAATCCTAACTCCTAATGTGATAATATTTAGAGGTGGGCTTTGATCCAGTCCTCATGAATAGGATTAGTGCCTTTATAATAAAAAAAGACCCTAGGGAGATCCCTGCCACATCCCCCTTTTGAGGACACCGACAAGTTAGTAAATCTGCATCCTGTAGGAGGGCTTCGACCATGCTGCACTCTGCTCTTAGACTCCCAGCCTCCAGAACTGTGAGAAATAAATTTCTGTTCTTTATGTGCCACTCAGTCTGTCATACTTTGTCTTAGTAGCTTGAACAGACTAAGCCATCCAGGTAGTGAGAGGAAAATGGAGGAAGAAGGAAGATGGGAGAATATGACACTGAAATTAGAAAGGAAGAATCAGATGTAAAATTGTAAATACAGAACCTACAGAATTTGACAGCTGACTGGGAGGAAAATAGTTAAAAGCTATTATTAGCCCAGCTGCGGTGGCTGTGGTTGAGCATCAACCTATGAACCAGGAGGTCATGGTTCGATTCCCGTTCAGGACTCAGCAAACTAGATTTTATTCTCCTGGGTAGCTCAATTGGTTAGAGATCCCAATACATCATGGTTGCAGGTTTGATCCCCAATCAGAGCACATACAAAAAATCAACCAGAATAAAAGATGAAAAAAAAGAGAAAAAATCAACCAATAAATGCATAAATAAGTGGAACAACAAAAATCAATATCTCTCTGTCTCTCTAAAAATCAATAAAATAAGTAAAAATGAAAAATATTAAAATGTACACTCTATTTGACCTGATATTTCTACATGTATAGCTAATCCTAAGGAAAAATATGGATGTTTACAGAGATTTACCAATAAGTAAGGTTATTAAAGCAAAGTTTATAATAGGAGAAAACTAGAAACTACAGTAAATTGTCCACAATATGTCTTAAAAATAGAATGGCACAGCCATATATGGGAATAACATGCAGTAATCTTAAGTAATATTGAAGAAAAATAGCATGTTAACATGTTAATGAGTATTTTCTAAAACTAGAGTATAGTGCATTTTACACACACACACACACAAACACACACACACACGCACAGAAAAAAAATGCCTGGAAGCATATATACCAAACTATTAATTATGGTTATCTTGGGATAGTGAGATTATATGAGATTATGGTTATTTATGTTCGCTTTGCTTATCCATATTTCTGAGTTTTCAATAATGACCATGTAAAGAGAAAAATAACCATTTTTTTTTGAGTTAGCAAAATTTTCTATAGGGGACAGTAAATACTTTAGGCTTTCTGGGCCAGACTGTTTTATTGCAACTATGCAACTCTACCGTTACACAAAAGAATGAGGTGGCAGGGTTCCAAAAAAAACTTTATAAACATGAAATTGGAAGTTCATGTATTATGAAATGTTTTTCTTTTGACTTATTCAACCAGGTAAAAGCTGTTCTTAGCCTGAAGGCTGTACAAAACAGGCAACAGGTGGATTTGGGGGCCATATTTTGCTAACCCCTGTTTGAGAATAACTATTCTTTTCTTGCACAACTCATGTTCCTTCAGTGCTGAATTATCTTGATTTTTCTGTTTGGTTTTCCAAGTTCTTATCACTAACTCAAACTTGTTACCAGTTGTCGAAACCTCTAGTTGGTACTTTTAAACCCTTCAAATATTGTGTCATTTTTATTTCTCAGAAGTGGCCTCTTTTCAGAGTTTTCTGACTTCTCACCTGGCCTGTTTGATCACCATGTCTGCTACACAGTTGTTATCCTGGTATCTGCTTTCACTCTGTGCCTAGGAATTCCTTTTACCTTTCAGCTCTGTTAATAATACATTGTTTTATGTATTTCTTGTACTGAATTCACCTGCAATTTTATTACAAGTTTTGTTTAACCTTTTATCCAAAGAGCCTACATAGAATACATAGATGGTTGACAGGCTTCACTGACAGGTGCTCAAACCATTATAGATCCATCTTGGGTCCTCTTTTCAAAATTTACTCCGATCCTGGACAAATACATTTGTTCATGTTTATTTAATGTTCACCAAATCACTGAACCCCAGGATTGATGCAGTCTACTGCAAACGGGGTCCTGTAACTCCTTCTATTACAGGATAATGAGAAGCTAGGAAAATTCCAGGGCAAGAGGAATAGGGAAACTGAGACAAGAAAATTAAACAAGACCAAGATCTCATCTTTTCCAACCAAGGATGCTTGAGAACAAATGACTAATGCCTCTCCTCCCTAACCAAAGAATGCAGGAAAGAAGGGGGAGTTTTAATGCCTCTTCTCCCTAACCACAGAATACACAGTGTAAATCACCCTGGAACTGCTAAGGAAGGAGGGGGCAGGGGGAAAGAAAGAAGGGAGAGATTTATCTCAAAGAAGTCAGTCGTTTTGGGGAAGGAGGAGAGAAGATGTGTTCATCACATTGTTTAAACCGAGAAGCCAGCAGTCTTGGGGCTTGTTAAAAAATAAAATTGCCAAATTCTTCTCATAAATTCTGGGAAAACCATAAAAAAGTAAAAGGGAGACCTTAATCTGTACCAAGATATTCAACAGAGAAATTTAAAAACCAATAGACAGAAGGGAGTATAACCCCTTAAATCTCCACCAGGCTCACTTCTCAGAGTAGCTGGGAAGTCGGTCTGTGCTTTCATAAGCCAGAAGTATGATAGATTTGCTTGCCTTGCTTCTTTAATAAATTTAGTAAATTTGCTTTACTACAACGCAATCAGCTAGGGTCACTCTTTGAATTCCTTCCTACGAGACAGACATGAACCGAGGAGGGGACAGCCCTCTCCCTTCAACTCAGGGGGCTGTCTAATATCTTTTTTGGTGTTTCTGGTGCCTATAACACTTCCACAGACATGGTGAAAGAATCTACTTTGTCCCTCTGCAAACTAGATTTTATTCTCCTGGTAGGTTGAACTACTCCCTGAATGTCTAAACAAAGTTCCTTCCATTGAACATTCAGTCTCATTCCTTTTTAGTTGTATGTATCTTGATTCACATCCTGACTCTTGCCTCCTACTTGTGTTATCTTTGGCAAGTTCTTTATCTGTCTAACCCTCTTTTTCTACACCCTCCACCAGAGCTGAAATGCTGTGGTTGATCACCTGCAAATGTTACCTGTTCAAAGTTTGTGGGCCAATATTCAATACATCGAAATTTAGAGTAAGGAAAGGTTTATTGATCAAGAAGGCCCAACTCAAGCAGATGGGGTGCCTTATAGCTTTTGAAAATCCATCTTAAGAGAGCCCAGAATTCAGGCATCTTTTATATCAAGGGAAAGGAGGAGAGTAAGGCAAAAGTGGGTGGGGTTGTAGACAGCTAGGCGATGGCAGGGATCCAAGGAAGAGGGAAATTTCTAAATCTCTGTTTCCAGTTGGCACATTAATCCCGCCCCCCCCTTCCCCAACCCTCCCCACCCCCCACCCCCCACACACACACTGATCTGGGTCCAATCTAGAAGATCCTGTAAATCTTTGATAAGCAGGCTAGAATTTAGAGAGAGAGAGCAAACATTTTACTAATTACACAAGGACAGAATATTCTGACCAGCTGTGGCCTTAAATGAAACCTTTGGCTCCAGGGCTAAGTATGAACCCAAGATCACAGTCTATTTATGACCTCTAACCCAAGTCTGATTCAATTTGAATCAGAAATGACT